TTACTCCTTCCTTCTCCTCCCCGAGGCTTATCTCTTCCGCCCAGCACTGCCCTCTGATCCGGATCACTCTAGGAGATGGGAGCTAGGTGCTTCCCCGGGCCTGGTTACTTACCGGCAGGGGCAAAGGCAAGACCACTTTGCCAGGATGGGCGGCCCCCTTCCGCCTCACCCCTGCACTGAGACCTCACCAGCTATGAGTGTCAGCCCTCAGGACGTCTCTCCTGCTAAAGGGTGTGCCCCTGCCCCACCCCTCCATGCCTCCTCCATCCTGTGTCCACCCACAGTGCCTCAGTTTACCCCCAAGTGCCTTTTCACTGGGCCCATCATAATTCAGAACAAACACACACGATCGCAGCTGCAACCCCCACTGCGTATTACCCATCCGCTCACCCCCAACAGCATAAGGCGGAGCAGCTGGGCCTCCTCCCCGCTGCCTCAGAAGCAGGAACACAGGGCCCTGGAAAAGGAAGCCACCCTGGGCCGCCGAGCGCCATTGGCTGCCCTGTGCAAACACTACATGAGCAAGGATGAGACGAGGAGGAAATAGCACGAGAGGGCAAGCCAGTGCTGGGTGCCGTGTGCCAGGTACGAAAGGCACAGCCAGGAGCAGCCCCTGTTACCCCCTTAATCATCTCCCTCCACTCCCACTGGCCTCTTTGAGGTTTCTGGAAGCCAACAAAATCCTGCTTGCTATGAGGCTTTTGCTCTTGCTCTTCCTTCTGGCTGGCGTATCTTTACCTCCAATAGTCCCAGAGCCGGTTCCTAACCCTCAGGTCTCTGTGCAAATGTCACCCCCTCAAGGAAGCCTTCTTTCAGCCCCATGACTAAGGGGCTAAGGTAGCCCCCCAACTTTTTATTTTTTTGAGACAGGGTCTCACTCTGTCTGTCACCCAGGCTGGAGTGCAGTGGCAAATTCACTGCAGCCTCGAACTCCTGAGCTCAAGCAATCCTCCCACCTCAGCCTCCCGAGTAGCTAGGACTACAGGTGAGCCACCACGCCTGGCTAATTTTTTGTTGTTGTTGTTGTTGAGACAGAGTCTTGATCTGTTGCCTGGGCTAGAGTGTCGTGGTGTCAGCCTAGCTCACAGCAACCTCAAACTCCTGGGCTCGAGCAATCCTTCTGCCTCAGCCTCCCGAGTAGCTGGGACTACAGGCATGTGTCACCATGCCCGGCTAATTTTTTCTATATATTTTTAGTTGTCCAACTAATTTCTTTCTATTTTTAGTAGAGACGGGGGGTCTCACTCTTGCTCAGGCTGGTCTCGAACTCCCGACCTTGAGTGATCCTCCCGCCTCGGCCTCCCAGAGTGCTAGGATTACAGGCGTAAGCCACCGCGCCCGGCCATGCGTGGCTAATTTTCTTATTTTTTGTAGCAATGGGGTCTTGCTCTTGCTCAGGCTGGGGGATTATAACTTAAGATCCTATTAGACATTTAATTGAATATTTTACTGTCTCCCTAGAACATTGGCCACACTGGAGCAGGGAATCTTTGTTCTATTCCCTGCTGAGTGTCCCCATGGGGGCCTGGCACACATGCTCAACACATGTTGAATAAATGGGTAAAAGCAGCCTCGAGTTTGCAGACACACAGTTTGAAACCTTCGTGTGTTCAGAGTGTAACACCAAGAATTTCTCTCTGCTGGGCACTGGGGAGGTCTTTCATGGACACAGATGTGGTGACTCAGACCTGAGAAGTCACTGTCCAGTGGGGCAGATGGGCCAGAGAATTGAAAAATCTGGAAGCTTCTGAGCTGGGCATGGTGGTATGCACCTGTAGTCCCAGCTACTCAGGAGGCTGAGGCAGGAGGATCGCTGGAGCCCAGGAATTTGAGATCAGCCTGGGCAACATAGTGAGACCCCATCTCTTAAAAAAAAAAAA